TAAATACATACGTATTAAAATTGTGAAGAATGGGTTTACTGTAAAAAATTTAAATAAAAAATGTGAAAGATTTAAATAATACATCGTATTATAAATTATTTAAAAAAATTTCTAAATACATACGTATTATAAATTATTTTTGTATAATTTATAAATTATTTTTAATTATTAAATTACAAAATTATTTTTTGATTAATAAAATTTTTTATCCTTCGTATTCATAATCAAACCATTCATACTAAAAATGATTTATATTACGAAAATTTAAAATTATATAATTAAATTATTATAGTATAAAAATTATATTATTTCAATTTGGAGTGTTTGGGTGTGCCATTGTGTGTGGTGCGCGTCAGTGTGTGGGTTACATAAAACGCATTTCAATGGCGTTTTTTAAAAAAAAATAAAAAACAAATTTATTATATACACAGTAAAAGCGCTATTTTTAAATATAGCGTTTTCTTCAGAAAATTTTTTTTATAATGTAAAGCGCGATTTGGAATCAGCGTTTTCTTAATTAAAATCGCGATTTCAAATAGGATTCAACTAATTCATCAACTTTTGGCCTCCAAACATAGAAAGCGCGAAAGTATAATAACGCTTTTGAGCTTAGTTTTGAATTCCGTCAGGAATTGGCCTAGTTTAGAAATACAATACAAAAATGGCTTATATTCGGGAAAAGCCTGCCAATTAGCCCTCTGCAAATTCTATTTGAAACCCTTTTTTCCCACGAAATCATTTCCCACAAATTCTGCCTTGCTGTAGCCTCCACAGCCCATTACCAACCTATTGCGTCGCCGCCCTTTCCGCCTCCCTCGCGTCACCGCCTTCCGTCGCCGACTCCCTGCCTCCGTCGCCCTCTTCCATCTCAGTATACTCGGTCTCTCCAGGATCAAATTCTCTCTGTTCTCTACAGATCAATCTCTTTTGTCTCTCTATCTCCTTGTCTCTTTGTTTTTTGTCTGGGGAGGTTACACAATTTTTTGCCAACAACTAATTGATATGTTTGAAATAAGCTAATAGAAATTAGTGTGAGAGTCTGAGATATGGAAATTTGTAACAAATCAAGTGTTATATGATGGAGCTTTGAGCTTGCGGGTGTCAACCCTCCAATTGAATTGTTGTTATCCTAGAAAGGATTTGGGCCATCTGTACTAATCAAACTTTCCCTTGTAGGTTTCATAGAGCCAAAACCTGTGGAGCCCTCTGAATCGTATGCTATTAATGGGATCATATACACACATGTTTGTTGCTTAAATCAATATAGATAAGTTGTTAATTCTTTGGAGATTGAAGATGACTAGTATAGAGAAAGCATGCTAATATGGTTTAAAGAACTTTGTTCTGGGTGCTGATCAAAATTGCAGCATATGGTGTTGCTTAAATGCCACAGGAAACAAAGATTTGCATTATATATAGTCAAGCAACGCATTTCCTAACCTTTGAATTTTTTGTGCATGACACTTCTCAAATGGATCTCAGAAGAAAAACAATTTGCCATATTACGTTAGGCCTAACTGTGTGAGTGTTTTATACACTATCAAATTTGGTAGCATATTTGCCATAACAAGAAAAGATAATAGAAAGTAAAATACCTATATAAATTGCAGAATGCAGGTACTTCAAGTTGGAATTTTGAACTAAAAAGGACAGAATACCCATCAATCTACATATTAAATAAAATTCTCTCGGTGCAAAGTAATACTAATAATGGCTCAATTCCAGCAGCATAACATTAGAATAAGATAAAAAATACAACAAAGGTGTAATATAACATATTGAACTATGCTTCCAATGATCGATAACTAGAAACATGTTCAATTTCCTCTACTGTTCCACATAACTTGTACAATAAACTTTCTCCCCTGCCAATGATTCAGATAGAACCATACTAAGACTTGCTACATTATGATTTAGTCCTCATAGTTACATCTGGAAACTATGTAAGTTGCGTTGTGATAGTTAATAGCGTGCAAATACATATACTCGCATTAGTTGGTTATACGTGCCTCAATTGTTGTGATAGGTTTATCAAATCTAGTATTTTTAATATAAGCATAAGTTCACATGCATCTGGCTAAACACTAACATAGATTTTTAAATTTGAAGATTCTAATGAGATTAAAAAAATGTAGCAATATATAAATCTTGCTGGAGTGGTTAAATCTTGCTTGCAATTTTTAAAATATGCTTGTGGTGTTCAAGTCCTAGTGTGAGCTTCCTTGGTTGCTGGCCATATTGCGTAATATTAATCGGTAGAACTCGAATGCCGTCCAATCGTGCTAGGTACTCATTGTTGGTTTCGGTTTTCTGTATTGTTTGTTCTAGGTCTCTCATTGGGTGACTCTGAGTTTCAGTGTGTGATGATCTTTCTTGAGATGTTTAAATAGCATTTCCAAATAGGTGTCAGCTAATGCATCTGAAAGTACCTTGGTGTGTCCTGCTTTTGGAGTTTGTGTGAATGGAGCGAATACAGAGAATCTTTTTTGGGATTTATGGTACCTTTCCATGGCCGTACGTTTAGGCGTTCCTTTCTGAAGCGTCCAATCATTTAAATCTTCTTGAGCCTTGAAAGCATTGTCCTTGTGTGCATTAATCCTTGGACTTCTTGTTATGTTTGGTGGAAGTCTTTAAGTTCACATAAACTAGAGAAGAAGAGAAACAAAACATTAATAGGATCCGTTGGAGTTTGGGAATTTGAGCACCAAAAATGGTTTTGTGGATTCTGCAAGTATCACCAAGAATTTCAATGTTTTCAGTTAGCACAGTATAAGGAAAATCTCATTGTTGGAATTTTTTATTTCAAAGTAAATGTCACTTCGTTGGATATGCTTCTGGGTCGTGGTCAGCTACTTATTAATGGTTGAATCTGTAAAAAAAAATTAATTTGTTAAACATGTATTTTTTTAAAAAATGTTAAAGAACCTCGGTGACTCG